ACACACACACACACACACACACACACACACACACACACACACACACACACCTTTTTCTCTCATAATCTCCAGAGTGAGGCCACAACCAGAAGTCTGTTAATGGACTCCTTTTTTGCCACCAAGCAGACACCCTTATTTTACAAATGGCTGAACCAATTTTCTGCCTAATTACTCAGCATGTAATGCATGTACCAGCAGTTTTCTTCATTCCATTAACCTCCCCAGGTTGGCTCACAAAGTTGTCTTCAGTCTGCCTCTGGTTCACAGCGTTTTTACCATTAGTGGCACTTATTAATAAACAATGAAAAATGGCCAGAAAGTGTGGATACTCTGTCTGGATTCTGACTTAATTTTGATACAAACCGAATGATAATCTTTGATTACACAATTTGCAAACATTACATTAAGCTGAACATATCTAAACTCCAGTCTACAAAAAAGCTGAAAAAAGGATGACATCACTATCTATGTTAAAATGACTCTGTGTGGGAAATGAGTCACCAACATTGTTACTTTGTTTACTTTTATCTTTGTTTGCACCTGAAATGTAGTTAAGGTATATACAGTAAATACAGTGTTTCTTTTTTGCCAAGAATCCAGACTGGCTTGTAATTTTTTAAAGTGCTGGTGAGCAATAGTTCTCCAGACATACTGAAAGTCTCTTATCTCTTTGGACACTCGCTGCTTTTTTACTCATTTTCAATTCATTCCTTGTACCTGAGCATTTCCAGAGTAATGTTTGGAAATTATTGTTGTTTCAAATTGACACTATAGGTGCATCTAATAATAGTAGGTTTAATGGTCAGAGGGTCATAGGTCAAGTTCTCTGCAGATCTTGTGAATGCAATAACTCAAGAACAAGATGATGTAATATTTTCAAATTGATGCTATAGGTCAGGGGTGGGGAACTCCAGGCCTCGAGGGCCGTTGTCCTGCAGGTTTTAGATGTGTCCGTGATCCAACAAAGCTGATTCAAATGCCTACATTACCTCCTCAACATGTCTTGAAGTTCGACAGAGGGCTGGTAATGAACTGATCAGGTGTGTTGACCCAGGATGTTACTTGCATCCGGCCCTTGAGACCTGGAGTTCCCCAGCCCTGCTATAGGTGTATGTATTAGGAGCTTGAGGGATAGGCCACTTAACACTGACCTATGAGTCATTCAAGGAAAAAGTCACCTGACTCAAGAGATGAACCATGGTTGTCTACATATAACAGAAAACTTAGCAAAGAACCAATCTTAGATTTTTTCTTAACTACTTTTGTTATTCTGTCACAAAAACTCATTATTTGTTCTCATTTTTACCCTTCAGCTGTAAAACACTGATGCATCATTGTCATCACCCGACTGGGCAGGCTGGTGGGTGAGAAGAAGGAAACAGGTTTTTTAAATTTATACCATGGGTCCATCTACTAAAAGTCTCAGACAAGTTTGAATTTCAGTGACCTCAAGACCAAGGTCAGAGGTCAACTTTTCTGAAAATTTTCTGAATGCAATAACTCAAGAGGAAGATAAACTAGGATTTTTATACTTAGACAACATGTGCATTGACTAGAAGGCCAAGAGGTTAGCAGTGGCAGCTGCCAGTATCTTTTTATTTTATTGAATCTTTGAAGAATGTCAACGTTAACACAGTTTGAAAGGCATAACAATGTATTTTTGCAAAGACTGTTAGTTGAAAACTTGGCATTTCCTGGCACTTCCTCAAAACCCTTTAATAGAAAACTACAGCAGGTCAATAATATCTGAAAGTCCTTAAGAAATATGAAAAATAAAATCCGGCACAGACCTGACACGTGACCATAGAGATGCATCTGGCCCTTCGGTTGATTCATCTACTGTTAACTGAAGCCTCAGCAGAAATCCAGTAAAAGCATACCCGGATTTTAAAAAAAACACACACAGAATGAAACATTATCAATCATGGATTTACCTTTCCAGAGTCCAGACCTCAACAGTACTGAACATTTTGAACAGAACAAAAGACAGCCAGCATCCAAAGTAGAGCTTTCAATGTCCTTCCAGATGCCCAAAGAGCTACTCCTGAAGACTACTTAAAGAAATTACAAGAAAGTTCAGGCTGTGTTGAAGAATAAAGATGGTCATACCAAATATTCATTTTCAAGCTTTTTAGAATCATAAAATCTAAGATTTCTTATTATAGACTGTATTCCTATATATTTGTCAGTAAACTCGTCCACCTATTCCCCATTTTTCTGGACAATTTGTAGAACTGTAACTGGCAATAAAAATTTTGCAGAGGTAACCAGGTGTCTGCTTTAAACCTGTTATACTGTTCTGCAGAGATGATTTTCATATATAGTTGCAGCTTTTTTATGTGTGAGGTGTGAACAATACCAATCCAGAAGAGTCGCAGTGTGTGAATTCATTATCTCATTGTCTTTGAACTAGGTTTACCTGCACCCAAATATCAATAAAGTATTATCTTGTGTAAGTGACTTGTAAAGTGTGTAAATAAAGTGCAACATTTCAGAAAAATGAAATCCTGTGATGACATTTTTAAAGAGCAGTCTTCTTCTTGGGTAGTTTTTGCAAAGAGGATCTAAATTGTTCTTTTTGCTGAATACAAGTGCTTGATTGTCAATTGAGTCCGAATCTGTGGAGCCTTGAAAGTTTGAACATGTGGGGATCTGAATACTAAAATGGAAGAAAAAAAGAAGAAAAAAAGATCTAAATCAAGGAAAGAGCAAAAATTGCTCTTAAAACGAGTGATAGAAAAGAACATAATGGCATAATGTTGGTTTTCAAATAGAATTTTTTTGTAAACCAAAAGGCAGATTATGTGGGATCACAGAGAGAAGCCAAATGGCAAAAAAGAAAAAATAGTCATGCTTCATGTTGATAATGAAAACTAATTTACCTTCATTTAGCATTTTCATTCAGATCTTTAACTGTTGTGTTAATGTGTCTTACATGTGCAGGTGTCAGGGATACATCAAAGCTCGGATGAAATCTGAGGAGAAGAGGAGGACACGCTTTCACAGTGGACATGGTGGGTGTCTGTGTGTGTCTGTATTTAATGTGGGATTTCACACAGGTAAGATGAGTGCGACAACATTTGTTGTAATTCCCAGGACTTTAGTTTTGCAAGAAGTTATACAAAGCGTGGTCACTGTTTGCCTTAGAGCAACAATTCTTATGCATTATGCATTTTTTATATTGTCATGAGCAGAATTTATGGACTCTCTTATTTTCTGTTGAATGAAACTCAGTTATTACAGTTCAATTCTTTGTAATTCCTGTTATGGCTCAAAAACAAAATAAGACCAAAAGGATGCATTTAAAGACACTGGTTCATTACAGTCCATCCACGTGCTGGTAGATAGGGTGGATTGATTTGGATTTGGAGCTTGTTCAAACCTACATTAGGCGAATGTTAGTGTGCAATGAAAAAAGATCAAAGCCAAATAGCCTTTTAAAAGAACTGATTAAGGCAAAAAAATGAAAACTGCAAGTAATCTTAAAAAGCAATGTTATTTTTAAATTTATATTCAGGTAACCAATAACTACAAATCCAGGTATACACATATGTGGACTTTAAAATATATTTTTAAAACTCTAATGTCAGTCAGTAATCCAGAAAGCAGAAGATTAACCTGCAGCGCCAATGTTCCTTGTTTTTGTTGTTTTAATACTTTGAGTAAACACACACATTGCATCGTCTTACAAAATACAAAAAGAAATCCCTCTGTCTCGCTCACCATTGAGCATGCTATTGGTGAGATTTTGACTCTTAAAAATCCATTTCAAGTCCCCTCTCACTATGTTTGGGCTTTTGTCACACAGATTGGGCCTATTTTCTGTGCTAAATCACTCACAGTTTGCCAGAAACCCACTATTGGTTTTTTGACAAAACTTGCTGTTCCAGTTAATAATTACAGTGGTGCTACAATTACAGATAAAAACAGGGTTATAGATTGCCCCATAGGGAGGACGTATTATTGTGCCCTGTGTTTTACTTAGGCAATTCAGTGAGAGCTCTTGTAGGATCCGATTTGAGGCCTGCAGGGAAACAAGTTTGGCTCTCGACACAAATCTAACAATTTTACCTGTGTGTGTTTGATTGGGGCTTTTTTTTATTGATCGAGAAGAGCATTAAAGACTGTGAGGAAAATATTGTAACATGCTGACATACCATTTTCTTGTCCTTTGGACACAAGGCCCATCTCTAAGTGTGCACTGCTACTGTTTGTGTGCAGGTAACTAATCTGGTTCTTCTCTATAGTGCAGCAGGTAAATGAAATTACAGGGAAATTGTTTACAGGTGATATGAGAACTAAAATTGGTACATATACTCTTTTATGATCACTTACTTACTGTGGTTAATACTGCGTGTTTGTTCTGAATCCTCTGAAGCATCCATCTAGGTTTGCATGTTAATGTTGAAAATGCATTTATGGATGGAGCTCATGCCGTACTTTGAGTGTTAGGTGAGAGTAATAAAGCACTCTAATAATTGCAGTCAGTTTACCATAGACTAAACTGGGAAAGGATAAAACACTAATGAACTTACAACAGTCAGATTAGTTACAGGACTTACTCAGTACAACACCGCTGTGGTGCCGCCAGTCACCTCACAGCATGAGGGTTCCAGGCCTGAACCAGTCCAAGGACATGCTTGTCAGGTTATCGGGTGATTCTAAAGTGTCTGCTGGTGTGGCGGTACATGATTATCTCTCTGTGTTAGCCGGTGAAAAAATAAGCTGTTAAAAACGTTGATGACAGAGTGCGCCAGTGTGAGAGAGCTGAGCCAAGGGTAAAGAAGCCTTCATGCACTGAATTCATAAAATTCACTCATTGGCACCAGATGAATCTAGTTGTATGTATGAGTAAAAGGGTAATCCGTCAAGCTGGACAGCACTGTTACTGGACCACTGGAGCAGCATGTAACATATTATGTGTATCTGCAGTTATCTTGTTTTACTTCAAACAAACCAGCTCTGAGGAAGTTTTCAAGTAACACATCTGACTTGTTAAAATAATTCAAAATTAAGTGTAAAACTTCCAAAATTGATCAGTTATATGACATTCTGTAGTGAAAAATGTTGTTTCATAAAATGCAAAGGATGACCAAATTGGAACATTTTGAAAATTTAAGTGGCTAATGGGATTTTTGCAGAGGAACAAACACTCATATTTTGGTGCTTGTGTCCACATTTGATAATTATTTCAGTCATCTGCTGTGCTAATACTGCTCTCTGAGTCTTTTCCTTGATGGTGCTGGAAGTTGGACAGAGATTTTTTTCAGCAGCTTATTTAAGAATGAGTCTAATTTTACTTTATGCCAAACAGTAACAATGGCCTTGCTGATACATATGTACTTTTATGAGTCATTTCTTTCTATCCAGTAGAATGAAATCTATATGAGTTGCACCAGTTTTTTCTGTGCTATTTGTTCTTTGCTCGTGTGTGCTTGGGAGCCATCACCCAGGTGGGGGGATGCCACCGGGCTCAACAAACTGGTAGAAAAGGGTTGTTCTATTATAGAGCTGAGCTTAGACACTCTGGAGACAGAGGTGGGTAGACGAAGCCTTCAAGCTTCCACAACACAAGCTGACGCAGCTATAAAGTACATTTAGTCCCAAGCTCATCTGCTTGAGGTGTACCACGGACAACTTCCAGTTATCATTCGTGCCAGTCATAATGCACACCACTGCAGCAGCATCCCCAGCCTCAGCCAGAGAGGAAGATGCAGAATTCTAACTGTCTGCAATGTCTTTTTATACTGCTCTGGGGATTTTTTTTTTCCAGCTCTTTCTTTCTCTTTTTCTGCCCCCTTTTCCATCCCTTGACAAAATAACAGAAAAACCTCACAATATAAGAGAAGCAAATAGTCGACCAATTATGGACTAACACAGTTGAATAAAGAATCACCTTCTCTTGCACAGTCTGGCTTCAGTATAACAGAATATCCTGCAGGCTTAGAGAAGCCGGATAATGACTTTATGCTTGCAAATGCTTCAGGTTTTGAATAGATTAAGAAAATATGCACTGTGGTTGATAAAACTAATATCTGTTTGGGAAGAAAGTTTTCTCATGCAAGTCATGCAGGACGAGAATTTCATAATCAAATAACCTATCATTCAACGTCTCACTCTGAGACAAAGTTAAGAGATCTTTTATACCCTCCTGGACCTGATTAGATAATGTTAGATATGAGAATTTCCATACCTTATGTGTAAAAATCAATCATTCACTCAATCAATAAAAATTATCATTTTTTTCCCTGGGCAGAATTCATCTTTAGTTCAGTTTGTGTTTAAAAACCCTTTCACAATCTCTTCTGAGCACATGTGTTTAACACTGTTCTCTCTGTCTGGTTGTGTGTCCTTGTTGTGGAGAAATGTGTAAGAACTTTATCTACTTGTACTCATGTATCAAAGCAGTTCAACCTCATTTCTAACTTTTATGTGCTACTCCACAATATACATAAAATAATACATTATATTGTCTGTTTCTCTTCTAGTCCCATTTTCTGGAATAAAGACCTATGTGGATCCAGATACATATGAAGACCCCACTCAGGCTGTGGAGGAATTTGCCAAAGAGATAAACCCCTCTTACATATGCATCGAGAGGGTGATAGGCGCAGGTAAAACAACTAATACAAATCAGTAAGTCGTGATAATTCATTGGATGAAACGGATGAAATCGGACTTCAACCTGGGTGTTTTTTCCAAGAAAGTGATACATGGGCATTTGCAAAACTTGCCAGTAATGTTTGTCTGCTATATAAAAAGAAATGCTGAAGCATATTAGTATTGGACCTTAGAGATGCTAACACTGCAGGCTTTGAATAATGGAGTTTGATGGTTCATTAATTTGAACAGATTGTGTCGGCTTATAAACCCCTGAGTAATTATGAAGGTGCCCCCTTCTCAGGGGTTTCTGTAATATGAGCTCCATCTGGTGGAACCCATGTGCAGTTGCATGGTTTTAAATATGTCAGACAACTAACTGTGCAGTAGGCCTAGTGGTGATGAATTTCATATATCTCCTCCAGTGATTAGGCTGCATGTCTATCTGAGTCATGTTCATTTTTATTTCGTCTGTCGTTTTCACTTTAGAGTAAGGATTCAGGAACAATACCCAGCATTTAATCTGTTTTCTAGTTTTTACTTTGAATATGTTTTATTATGTAAGTGAAAGGAAATCTACTGTGTTTTGTAGGTGAATTTGGAGAAGTCTGCAGTGGCCGTTTGCGTGTACCAGGCAGGATGGACATCTCTGTGGCAATAAAGACCCTTAAGGGTGGTTATATGGACCAACAGAGACGAGACTTTTTGCGTGAGGCCTCGATCATGGGGCAGTTTAACAACCCCAACATCATCAGGCTGGAGGGAGTGGTCACTAAGAGTAAGCTCTTTACACAACCTGACTTCCATTTCTTGTTTTTTTTTGGGGGGGGGGGGGTTTGCATTTTTGCAGTTGGGTCTCTTTTCTTTGAGCTGTCAAATCAAGTCCTTCTCCTTTTCCTCAGGCAGACCAATAATGATTGTGGTGGAGTACATGGAAAATGGAGCACTGGACTCTTTCCTCCGGGTAAGGGGAATGCATGTTCACACTGGTATGGTGCATTCCTGAAGATTGTCTTCTTCACACGCTGTTTGTACCCTCTCTGTCTTAATACCACCTCAGGCACGTGATGGTCAGTTCACAGTGCTCCAGCTGGTTGGCATGCTGCGGGGCATCGCAGTTGGTATGACCTATCTTTCAGAAATGGGTTATGTTCACCGAGACCTAGCTGCTCGCAACATCTTGGTTGATGAAAGCTTGGTGTGTAAGGTCTCCGATTTTGGCATGTCCAGAGTTCTTGAAGATGACACCGAAGCAGCCTACACAGCTACAGTGAGTGCAGCTCCTGGAAGATTTTACAGCATCAATAATGATACTGAAGTCTGAATATTGCCCTAACAAGAGGATCCTGTGTTTCTATTTTGCGTTAGGGAGGAAAGATACCAATACGCTGGACAGCACCAGAGGCAATTGCTTATGGAAAGTTTTCCTCAGCTAGTGATGTATGGAGCTATGGCATTGTCATGTGGGAAGTGATGTCATATGGAGAGAGGCCCTACTGGGAGATGTCCAATCAAGACGTAAGTTGCTTTTCGCTCTAAACTCCTCAGTATAGTCAACACTTCATTCAATTTCTTGCAATTCTGTCTCTTGTATGAGGAGTGTAACTCTTTAAACAAATGAATGAATCGTTGTTTTATTTGAGATTCAACAGTATGTTTACTGACATTCATCTCAGGTCATTTTATCTATTGAAGAAGGCTATCGTCTACCAGCACCAATGGGCTGTCCTGTGACGCTGCATCAGCTCATGCTACACTGCTGGCAAAAGGAATACAGCCAGCGCCCACACTTCAGTGATGTGCTGTCGTTCCTCGACAAACTCATAATTAATCCCAGTGGGCTGCTGAATCTAGCCAATGATGTTCAGAGGTAAGTATCGGATAACGCAGAGACTGTTTCCATTGTTTATATACAGTATATACAGACACTAAGATAGTGTAGAATCTGGAAAATATGGAGCTGTTCTGCACTGAAAATAACGCAAATTCATTTTTCCTGGTCTTGAGTACAGTTACGACTATAGCATGTTGCTTTACATAAAAAACATCGAGAAAAGTACATGCAATCATGATGGCATATATGACTATGCATGCATTTAAAAAACATACACAAAAGTATGAGGACACATATAACCACGGTTAAAAGCATTTCAGCATAAACATTCAGGATGCAGAATGGGTGCATTTAATGACACAGAAAGGAATGTCTAAGAATTATAGCTACCTAATTACACTACTAAAATTATGAGGTTTGACATGTATTGCATATTACTGTAGCGTCCCAGTGCATCACATCATAAACCAATAAAAATGTTGAACCTGAAGGAAACTATCAGAAAAGAATAGGTAGGTAAAGGTATAATTTTGATTGACTGGTAATTCTTATGCATCTAAACTGTTTATTCAAAGAATATTTCCTGTGTTTTTCTCTTTGCCATATCAGTTTCGCTGACTCCCCAGACGACATGCCAGATTACCCTCTTTTCATCTCTATCGGCGACTGGCTCGACTCCATCAAAATGAGCCAGTATAAGAACAACTTTCTTGCAGCAGGATACACGACGCTGGATTCTATTTCAATCATGAGCATAGAGTGAGCAGAGCCAAATTATACAGAGAGCAGTTACACTATCAAAACGTACACTAAAAGGAAACTAAGTTGCATAAAGCAAGCAGGAAATATTGACACTGTAAAAAACACGATTCAACTATTGAGTTTTGTCCAGTGCTGTGCAGCTGTTTTTTAAATATCCTATTTTTTATGCTGTGTGTGCCTGCTGGTTTAACCACAGCACGGTCAAGAAACTTGAACTGCAATACTGTGCTAAAAGTCTTAAATTTGCTAGGAAAACAGGAAATCGGTATAGGGAATTATTGGAATATGTAGTATGTAAAGTTTTAAAAAAAACCTTGGAAGTCATATTGGTATGACTACCTTACCTATTCTTCAACACAACCTGAACTCTCTTAGGTAAGCTTACTTGTAAGTTCTTTAAGTAGTCTTCAGGAACAGTTTTCCAGGTTTTTTAAGGACTTTCAAAGCTCGTCTTTAGATTTTGGCTGCCTTTTGTTCTGTTCTCTATAAAGACGATCCCACACTGCTTCAATAATGTTAAAGTCTGGTCTCTGGGGAGGCCAATCCATCCATTATGTGTTTTTCTTTCCAGGAATGCTTTTACTTCATTGGCAGTGTGATTGGAATCATTGCCATGCGGAAAATGAAACTGTTGTCAATCGGATATTTTCTGGATGGCATTTTCTGTTTTCATGATTTCATTTGAAAACATCCCCAACACCACTGACTGAAATGCACCCAGAAACCATGACACAGGTTCCACCGTGTTTTACACAGGGTTGTACACACTTACTGTTGTGTCTCTCTGACCTCCTTCATAGATACTGATGCTGGTTTGACCAAAAACTTCAAATGTGGATTCATCACTCAATCAGACCTACTGACACTGATACCTCAGGCTTTTCTCCTCCTTTCCCTTTGTTAAGAATGCTTCTTGACAGGCATCCTCAATTGAGACCACTTCTTTGCTTGTCTTTGCTGAATTTCTTTTTGCTGATTCTTAAGAAATTTACTTTCAGATAGTGTTCATCTACTGTGTAGAGGTTTTTTTTAAGCCCTTTACTTCTTCTTTTGTACTCCACTTATCCAATTTCCTCTAATTTGTTAAGAACACACTGCATATTATGCAAAGATATGCCAGGTTTTCAGCTAATAGCACTTTGGGAATTATCTTTTTGGTACAAAATAAGCTCATGTTTGACAAACTGTGTTGTCATTGACAATTTTTAGACTGAACTAAAGAAACTGTAACAAATTATTTGTTTTTGCAACATACAGGTAGTAACACAACACTAATTCAGGTGTTTTTTTATGTTTGTACAATTTCTCAGTGTAAACCACCTTAAAAAATAAAGGACTTCACTGAAAATGAGTGATAAAGCGGCCAGTCCAAAGACGAGCTTTGGAGAACTATTGCTCAAGACCACTTTAAAAATTACAATGACGTTTGCCTCCTTTGATGTAAATTATTAAGAAATGTTGTCTCAAGACTTTTACACAGTACTGTATGCCAAGTTTAATTCACATATGCTGACTGTGTAACATAAACTACAACACTGCCACTATTGTGCTTTCACGTTAAATGTGGTCATTGTTAACACCGTCAACTTTTTGCTTGTTACAGTTTTGTGTTTTCCTTGTTGTAGAAAGTAGGTTTGCTGTTCTTATCTCTTCTCTCCTCTTTCTTCAGTGACATCAGACGTATTGGAGTCTGTTTGATTGGCCATCAGAGGAGAATCATAAGCAGCATACAGTCCCTTCGCCTGCAGCTTCACCACATTCAGCAGAGTGGCTTTCAAGTGTGAGCCCATTGCACAGAGTCAGACTGTGTGTACAAACTGAGCTGGAAACAAGTTCCTTGGCATCGTCATTCAACTAATTGCACAAAACACCAGACTCTTAGGTGTAGCAGGTACCACATGCTGCTCGTATGAGAGCGGTCTGCTGCTAGACCACATGTGGTCTAGTTAGCACACACATCATCATCTGGATCATTATCAATACAGCCTCCACAACAACCAACCTCTGGCGTTGGCCAAATGCGGTCTCTTTATTATCTCAGCAAATACTAGCATTCACTTGAATTTAGGACTTATTTTCTCTAGTGTCTATTCAAGTGTTCACCAATACCTCTTCTCTTTCCAAGTGACAATCCAATGGTTTGTATTGACTTTGAATGGTCTAAAGTTTCTTACCTCATGACCAGAGAAGATGAGGACAGGAGAAATCATTTGGTGATGTGTGGTACAGTGTGTGACTTTAATAACTACCTTTCCAGCTGGTTTATGAAACACTTCACTTAAAAGAATAAAGATTGACCGGATGGTAAAATACAATCATGTTTTTTGAACTGAAGACCGCTGAATGTCAAAAGATTTTATAGAAATGTATGTTCTCTCTTCATGATGATGCAGTATGTCTTGTACAAAAAGTCTTGTGAAAATTGTATGTTTTATCCAGTATGTTGGTTCCTGAATAAACAACCCTATTTTAATACTTAGTTTTCTCTCAGACTTTAACCACCCCTGGCCTCAATCGCTACATACGCCACACATTTCATTAGGTACACTTTGCCAGTACAGGATTACACCTTAAGTCAACAAGGTGTTGGAAACATTTTGATATATGGAATAGAAGTTTTCTGAATAGCTGATGCAAAACAGGATGCTATTTACATCAATTTGGACTCTATCATGTTGCAACAGAAATCAAGACTAATCAATCCAGGTAACATCTATAAAAACTTTCTGCTTTTGGTGAACTGTAGCCTCCGTTTTCTGCTCTCAGCTGACAGGAGTAACAAAAGGTATGGTCTTGTGCTGCTGTAGCCCATCTGTTTCAAAGTTTTGATGTTTTGTGTGTTCAGAAATGCTCATCTACATACCTTGGTTGCAATGATTGGTTATCTGAGTTACTATTGCCTTCCCAGCTGGTCAAAACAGTGTGCCCATTCTCTTCTGGCATCAAGAAGGCATTTCAGCCCGAAGAACTGGCTGGATCACTGGGTGTTTTCCGTATTATTGACGGTTCTTTGTAAACTCTAGAGATGACTGGGCAGGAAAATCAACAGTTTCTGAAATACACAGGCCAGCATGTCTGGCACCAAAAACCATGCCAAATCATGCTTCACTTAAATCATCTTTTTTCCTGATGCTCAGTGTGAACCTCAGCAGGTCTTATTCACCTGTACTGAGTTCCTGCTCTGTGATTAGCTGAGAAGATATTTGCCTTAACAAGCAGGTGAACAGGTAGTATACCTAATGAAGTGGCAAGGGAGCACAATTCAGGCCACACACACACACACACACACACACACAAACACACACACACACACACACACACACAGCACACACAGAGAGAGATCTCAATAGATGCCATCTCTCACTCAAAAACAAGTTATCTTAATTGTCACTCAGAAGACTGACACATTTTCTGTGTCACTGTCAGGTGAGTTTGTCACATGGGTGTTTATCGAAGGTGCTAGGTGAAAGCCATGTCTGGCCAAAGTAGGTGTTCAGTATGTACACATTTTTAGATTCTGTGAGAAATGTTGTTTTTTTATGGCTTACAGTCATTATTTTATATCAGAACTGTCTATAGGGATTTGCACTTAACAGTGAAAATATGTAGTTACACAATATTTTGGACAGTGAAGGTTACCATAAAAGTAGTTTGGTTCTCAGCATGTTAGTAATGTCTTGCCTATAAGACATCAGTAGATTAATTAAGACAAACAACAGACTATTGCTTCACTTTTAAAAATGTTTCTTGTTTATGATAATTTCAGATTAATTGTTTCATGGTTGTATTTACTTTGATTGTGTTTTTGGTGTGTTTCCTTGCGTTCCCTTATTCTAGATAATAGAATAACTTGTTTTGGAAAGTGGATACTGTCAGTAAAGATCAGTATGAACATGAGCAGGGGTGTCAAACATCTTTTTAATCGGGGTCACATACAGCCCACTTTGATCTTTAAGTGGGCTGGCCCAATGAAACTCCCCTTTCTGTCCATGTAAAGACAGTCAACTAAACATTTAAACCCTGAAATATTTAAACAGAAGAAAAAGAAGTACATTTCCAGCAGTATTAGTTTTCTTTACATGATAAATGTGTAAAAATACAGAAAAAGCTCATTCCCCAGACCGTTCTGTATTTACAATAGCCATAATGTATAATATATTTAAAAAATCAAGGTATTTTTAATCATTTGATATTTATTTATTTTTTTGTCTTTTTGGAATTTTATCGATTACTTCACTACTTTAGTGTAGTGTGAATGGCAGTGGGGGAGGTCCATATCAATAGAGAAAGCTGTAAAACATATATACAGTAAAATACAGTTCAAAAATCTTCACATTTTCCAAAGCCTTCCAGTGGGCCTGATTTCAGTCTTTGCCGGGGTGAATCTGCCTTCTAGGCCTTATGTTTGACACACCTTGCGTGCCTAAAACCTGGCTGCTAAAGGTATCAGATTGGAAGTAAGTTTTGTTCTGCCCTGTAGGGGTCAGACTAGAGTCAATTCGGTGGTCTCCCAGCAACACAGTGTAAATAACTCAGTGGGTTTTTTCAGCAGGTCATGGAGCTTAAGAGGCAAGCAGAGAAATGAATGCAAAAACGATTTAATATTAAGTGAAGTGAAGTAAAGGGAAGGGAAGGGCGACTCGAACGTAGGCACTCAAGCGAAAATTACAGGTAAAGTACATCTTCAATATACACTTTAGCACAGGATAATACAAGCTAACCATAGCTAAAGCATCACTAGCTGTCGTGGTAACGCAACGATGAACTATATTGCCTTGATGGCTGAGACTGTTCATTTAAATATCGAGTACCTCACTAGGCTTTAAAAGCCTACCGCGTTACGAGGGCTCGCTGATGTAAAGCTTGTGGAAAGAGGTTGGCTAAGGGTAACTAGCTTCAGTAACAACAAGAGATTAACGAAGTAGCAGTAGCGACTGATAATTATATTCTAGAGCCCACTAAGCACGTTAGCTGAGGCTAACGATAACAAGGTTAAATGTTGTTGGGTTTGGCGAGGCATAAACACAAACGCTATTTCTTGGCGTTATGCCGTCCTGCTGTTATTGCAGCAACTTGAGTGTGAATGCTAATTATGCAGCAGAAATGTGAACTTGTTCAGTTTTCGCTGTCCCTTTGGTGATCTCAGAGCTAACGATGAGTACTGTAACTATGCTAGCAATGAAATATGAAACGTTTCCCACACAGGACACGTTCCCATTCCCATAAAGTCTAGATTACTCATTATTTTTGTGGAAGTGGCTTAATATTATCGAACAACAACAGATAACATTATGTCGCACAGCCCAGTTACCGTGTGATTACATTCGGGGTCACCAGGTTAAAGTATAACATTTAAAAATGTAGTTCCTAGGACTGACTTGTTTCTGATAGCCATTGCATGTGATTAGCAACAGGTGGGTGATCAGTGGGTGACCACAGCTTCTTTAGAGTTACAGGTCCTCATGTTGTGAATTTTCCAGGACACGTGAAGTACCCTGTATAATCTCCAGCACTTGCTGTAAAGTATTACTGTATTCTAAATCTTTCTGTGTTTATGTTATGTTACTTGAAGGTCATAAAGACAGCTGATGGTTGCTGAGTAGCCAATGGGGTTGTTTGACAAGTTGGCGGGATGGCTGGGCTTAAAGAAGGAGGTGAACGTGCTGTGTCTCGGTCTGGACAACAGTGGAAAAACCACCATCATCAACAGACTGAAGCCCTCGAATGTAAGTCTTTCTAATACAAGAGATGTTGCATCACTCATCTTTATGTTGATAACGCTGATGAGAAAGGTGAAGGTGGGGTGTAAGGGGTGGAGATGGATGTCAGGGGTGATTTATGACAGAAGGATACCAGCAATAGTAAAACGAAAGGTTTAGAAGATGGTAAATGGTAAATGGCCTGTATTTGTATAGCGCTTTACTAGTCCCTAAGGACCCCAAAGCGCTTTACACAACCAGTCATCCACCCATTCACACACACATTCACACACTGGTAGTCAGACTTGCTATGATATATGGTTTGGAGACGGGGGGTACTGACAAAAAGACAGGAGGCACAGCTAAAGATGGGTTAGGGTTAGGGTGACTACATCAGAGGGACAGTACAGGTCAAGCGGTTCGGAGACAAAGTTAGGAAGGCAAGTCTGACATGCTTTGGACTTGTGCAGAAGAGGGATAGTGGATATACTGGAAAGAGGATGTTGAATGTGGAGTTGCCAGGCAGGAGGAAAAGTGAAACACCACAGAGAAGATTTGTAGATGTAGTGAAGGGGAGTGTTCAGGGGGTTGGTATGACAGAGGAGGATGTCAAGGATAGGGTGAGATGTAGCCAATACAATGAGAAAAAGACAGTACTGTAGAGGGAATGTTGCTACTACTAAATACTGTGTTTTCCCCACCTGAAGCTGCTAATGAGAACATGGTGCCCTTCTTTTTCAGGCCCAGGTACAAGATATTGTCCCAACAATTGGCTTCAGCATAGAGAAGTTCAAGACATCCAGGTAGCTGCTGTGGTTTAATATTGAATTGAAACCCATTAATAAAGTATTGTCATCCTTTACATTATTGAACATCTGTTACAGATTAATATATTTTGTTGCTTGTCTCGTTATTTACATAAACTTCATACACATGTGATTTTCTTCTCTTCTTCTAGTCTTTCTTTCACAGTGTTTGACATGTCAGGTCAAGGCAGATACAGAAACCTTTGGGAACATTACTACAAGTGAGTGTGATCCCAAAACAGCCTTTGCAAGATTTTTGTTTTGATATACGTTAATTAATATTTCTCATCTCTTCCCAGGGAAGGCCAGGCTATCATATTTGTCATTGATAGCGCAGACAAACTGAGGATGGTAGTGGCCAAAGAAGAACTGGACACATTACTAAATCATCCTGGTAAGGATTTTTTTTTAGCCACTTGTTCACATATTTATTTTGTGTAAAATTAAATCAGGTTTAAAGGTTTCTTTTTTTTAATTGACTTTTTAAATTTAGTTTCAAAATATTGTTCATTTATTTGAAGCTAATAACATTTCTAATTAACAGCGCAACTCTGAAACTTTAATCTCTCTCTCCTTGCAGATATTAAACACCGGAGGATCCCCATTCTGTTCTTTGCTAATAAGATGGATATGAGGGATGCTCTGACTTCAGTTAAGGTCTCACAGCTGCTGTGTTTGGAGAACATCAAAGACAAACCCTGGCACATCTGGTATGAGCTTTTACTTTTATGTCATTGCCATTGAAGCAGTGTAGTTATTATAGACACAACAGCTACACTGCAGTCTGATGTGAGCATACCAGCATCATTCGCGGTTTTCCTGATGCATCACATTATACGAAAGTCAATTTCAAGGGCAGAACAAGTTTTATTACACAGCCTGCAAGTTTGTTTTTTTGTTATTGTCTGGTGTACGATCATATTGGACTAAGATGCCCAAACTGTACTGATCACTTCCTCTCGGCGGAAGTCCAGGATATTAATACTGGCACATTGACATTGTATGACTGGAAATAGTTCTGATGAACATCTATTTTTCAGTTCAGTTTTATTTATACAGCACTAAATCACAACAACACTCGCCTCAAGGCGCTTTGTATTGTAAGGTAAAACCTACAATAATACGTACAGAGAAAAACCCAACAATCAGATGACCTCCTATCAGCAAGCACTTTGGCGACAGTGGGAAGGAAAAACTCCCCTTTAACAGGAAGTAACCAGTTAGGATGATGGGAGGAAGACAGGATAAATCTGCCATCTGCCACAAGATGTCATATTAACCCAGCAAAAATATTTCTATCTCTTCACTGTTACACTAGAACATTTACTTCAGTGACCTGAGACTAAATGACCCTATTGATTGACACAAGCTCGTTAACACTTGACAATGAAAATGAATATTTTTTTATCCTTCACCAGAACAAAAAATATACGGAGCCTTCTGCGATTTTATTTCTTTTTTTTATCCTGGTTGCAGATAAGATATATTATATATCTTATTATGTGTCTTATCTTCATATATTATGAATTATACAGTGTCACTTGGTGCACATTGTTAAATCTAAACATGGAAGAAAGAAATTAATTCCATGTTCTGTGCATGATTTTTGTGGAAAGGTCATTATATCTTTATTTGGGCAAGTGACACCACACACAGCTAAGCATACTAAGAGTATCCCATGTTAAATCACAAGACTGACAAAAAAAACCCTAAATAGAG